AGAATTTGTTTATGTATGTGGGTTGAGGGTCGACACTTAATTTGCATGCCTAAACTTGATGCTAGGATATAAGGGAATTTCACCTAATCGTTATGAACTTATATTCATGAGTAGTAAAGATTGCTAGTCACGATTGTGTTTAGTAAACCCTAGGCTGGATTAACATGCGTATTCCATAGTTATGAATGCCTAATCGATGTTTATGATTTCCGTTGAACTTAATGATCTTTGTTGAATGTCTCTATCATGCGTATTCCATGGTTAGGGACTTTGATTAGGAATAATTTAGTTGTAATGCGTATTCCATTCAATCCAATGAATCTAGGGAAATCTGAAAGTTAATTTAAGTGGACCTAATTAACTTGGAGCATTGTCATTCATCGTTTGTTGAAGTCATAACTGGGAATCAAATTATATGCATATGTACATGCGTGGATAAGGAACCCTCTAACTAGTTTCTCATCATTCTATTTCATCAATTTCGTTTTTACAATCTGTTTTAATTAGAATCTGTGCATTTAGTTTAATTTCGTTCAAATCTAAACCCCCCTTTACTTTCTTGTCAAATTAGTTAGAAATCAATTTAGTTTGTGTTTTTAAAGCATTTTGAGTCTTTGGTTTGTCTTAGTGTTTTAAAGTTTAGTTTTGCATTCTTTGAGTCTAGTATAGTGTTTTATATTGTGTTTTTACGTTTTTGAGTCAAATCCAAGTGATTAACAATCCCTCCTAATCCCCGGTCCAGAACGATCCCTACTTATACTTATACTACAATTGTCAAAAAGAGGGTTTAATTTGTGTGTCACATAAGTTTCGCATCAGTTTTGCACACTGACTTCCAATTATCTAGGCACACCGATTAAGATAGCCCACATGGGCAGACTGACACCTTTCTGATGGTAGTTAGTTTTTGGCCATTGATCTGGCTCTTCTGCAGCCAACAAGTTTCCTTGTGACAAGTTGGCTGATGGAAATTCTGATTTCCTTGGGTAATTTGTCCCTAAGGTTTCAGTTTGTTCTTGGGGGTTTAGACCTTAATTTTAGAGTGAGAATTTCTTTAAAGGCTCGAACCTTGCATCTTCTCCACTTATGAACCCTAACTGCCAAACCTTCCTCATGCTTTAAGCACCCAAATTGTATATTAGGATTGCATTGTTTTAAGATTTTGCATTTATGTCTTGGTCTGGGTTTAAACTTTAAATTCGTTTTAGACCAAGCTTTTGTATTCAAGTTAAATTCTTCCTTCAACTGTTTGATTGGAGAATCTGACTGGTCATTCGAATCTAGATTTCATGTGCATATCATAAAATCATATGACATCATTGATCGTGTTGATCTTGGAGCCACAAGGTGATGAGCTTAAGAGGAGATGCCACTTTGTGAAAACTGAAAGAGTCTGTCTCATGTAAAGCAAGGTTGCACAAACGTAAAGCTGCTCCATAGATAGAAATCTAGGAATTAACCTTGTGTGATCTTTGTATGAACCTTTGTTTACACTAGTGGATTGGACTCAGTGGAGAGTCCCCTATTTTTTAACCCAAATGTGGGTTTTTTGGGCCAAAAATATCTTGTGTTCAAGTTAAGTTTATTGAGTTCAAGTTATGTTTATTGTGTCACACATCTCACACACACATACATGGTACATATATCTGTTGAACATCTAAATGGTATGTGTTCACTATCATGCTCACTTGACATGTTGATAACTTGCAATGAACTATAGCCTTGCTGATTAGGATAGTTTTTGGAAACTGAAATTGGTATTTGAATCTTAGATTTTTTTACTATCAAATCTATCTTAGTTGACCAACGAGCTTAACTAGTCAGTCTAGCGTATCGTAATTTTTATATATAGGTTATTCCACCTGGAAACCAAAGTCCAACAGATCGTAATTTTTATATACAGCCTTTAGGTTGACAAACGTTAAGCATCTAAATTTGTCTTAGATCATTATGTGTATCGATTGTTTAGGCAAAAAAGAATAGAGATGGAAACCAAAGTCCTACGTCTGAAGAAGTGGTTGGTGATACTAGATCTAATCTAGTCACCAGAAGAGAAATTCCACTCCTAAACCACGAATGTTTTTCCATCTTTGTCTGTTTCTCAGGGATTTTGATAGCACAACCTTAATTCCATTATATGAGGACCGACCGACCCGGGTTTTCACGAGCGTTGGCATCGAACCCCAAGCATCTTCTTTTTGATCTGAAAATGGAAAAAAAGGTGGTCTCCTCCTACCGAGCCCATCTTCAAACCCTTGGCAGAAAGATAAAAGGAAAAATTATCTGTAGTACCGCTTGAATAACGATAATCGGAGTGAAAAGCCTTAAAGAAAAGCTTTAGCATGAGGAATGAAAAGTAGAAAGAGCTTATTCGTGAAAAGAAAATTTTAGTTGTCTTACATGAGACTTGGGATATTCCTCACTCCATGGCACTTTTCGCACATCGATTCCTCCCTCCCGTCCAAACGTGACGCCCCTCATTATCATCTACCGCCCTTTCTTTCCTCCCACCTATTCACGCATGAAGATCGAGGTTCTTGGATACAGACATCTTTACGTCGTTCTTTGAAGTATCAAGAAGAACTACATCTAAAGAAGTCGTTGGTGATTATGGATCTAATTTGGTCACTGGAAGAGAAATTTCACTCCTAAACCACGGTTTTTTTTTCATCTTTGTCTGTTTCCCAAGGATTTTGATAGCACAACATTAATTCCACTCTGGGATGACTGACTGACCCTAACCATTCAAACATCTTTTTCAAAACCCTTATTGCCAATTACTCTTCTTTTGCTACTTTCTTTGTATTGTGTTTTTATACTTTTTAAATTTAAGGCATCTCAATCTATTTTGTGGAATCCTTTATATGCATATTTGATAGCTTTTTGTGAAAGAATTAATTTAAATTGTTAGGAATCATAACCTAGATACATATTTGTGCAATCCTTGTGGGAATGATCTCGTACTTGCTTTCTATACTATGTCATTGTTCATGTGCACATGCGAGTTTAAAAAGTGTAATTAGTAACTTAATATTTAGGTCGCTAATTGCATAAGAGATGTTGACATTTTTCATTCTTGATTGCTCGCTTTGTTATGCCACGTGCATTTGTGGGACCCATGAATTGGCCTAGTCAGCTTCAACTAATTAACTGGTCGAACTTTGAATTATTGATTACCAAAAGTTCGATGTCTACAAAATTCACTCTATCTATAAAAAATGGCCAAAAAGTATTACGTGATTAGTTTCCATTTGCCACCATTTTCTTCCTAAATTGACCAATTGAGGAGCCTTGTGCAAGAGCTGGAGACAAATTAGCCCCTCAAAGAATCATGGGCTAGTTAATTTAACCAAGGCAAGACATGTCCCATTCGAAATTGATTTTCATCATTTGGAGTCAAATATTGCACGTGTTAGATATACTCATTTACCTATCAAATTAAAAATCAGATCCTTTTTCTCATATAGATAACTGCTTGGTTACCTTTACAGATAATAATTTTCCCTTCCTTTTACATAATTTATATTTCCCTGTGGAATAGTTGAGGTTCAAAACTAAAATGTGGTATAAACATTATCAAAAAAATGCACATGGATTACTATATTCTTAAATATAATCCATTAAGAAACATCAACTGTGGAACAAAATGAAAGAGTATATTAATTTATTTCTTTTGTTACATCCTAGTGGGAATTGTTCTTAGTAGAACCCACCCATTTTGACAATAAAATAAACTAACCTTGAAGAAATAATAATGTCCTTATTTATCGTGAAGAAATTTTTGTAGCCATTACTTGGTACAAGGATCTTTCAAAGTTTGCAAATATAAATATGCAACTGTGCTTGTTTATCCACAAATGTATTATGTACACCTCGTAGTTGCCCAACAAATTAATCAATAATTCAATAATAGTATTATATAACTTATTGCAGCAGTCTGTATGTATAATTCTTCACTTCTTGCCCCTTCCAAGAGTACTTTTACCATTTGACGGATTTGAGCATCCGTCACTCTAAGAAGACGACTTGGACAACGAACCGTGTCTCGTGCAAGGATAAAGGACCGTTGCTGCATCAAATTTCTTACTAGAAGACATAGTTGCTAATGATCTGCTTAATTAAACTTGTACACAAATTAAAGGTATAAAAGGAGATCAAGTTGTGGCTTTTCCATGAAATAATGTTGGATCTTTATAACATTGGGAGGGGAAGGTGTTAGGGTTCGTATCCTAGCAGTTCAGTTTCCACAGAAGTACCGAGAAATTAAGTAACCTAATTGCATAAGTGTTGATATTTAAGTTTGTTTGAATTGCATGTTTCATAGATAAAGAATGAATGTACAAGGCATATTAGAGAAGGAAAAAAAGAGAACCGGTTCCAAGCAACCTTTCCCTAAACCACTCTAACAACTAGGTAAGCCCTAAAGCTATCAACATCCTATCAACATCTTAAATCAAGGGATTACATCAAACAACTAAAAAACCATATCAACAAGCCAACTTATCCTTAATTTGAAGGAGCCATTACAGGGACCATACCCATGACAACTAGGTCCATCAGTCATTCCATAAAGTCTCATGCATATCTTCTCATCACTCCAATATCTTCCAATAGTTATACTTCAACACACGCCCCCTTCAAGCTGGATCGAGGGGATTCATCGAGCCAAGCTTGCCCAAAAGACAATGAAGCTAAGTTGATGGCAGTGCTTTAGTGAATAGGTTAGCTAATTGATCATAACTACGAGTGAACACAGTGTGAATGACCTGAGATTGAACTTGAGATCGAACAAAGTGACAATCCACCTCTATATGCTTCGCTCTTTCATGAAAGACATGATTAGCAACAATGTGCATGGCTACTGGATTGTCACACATGAGAGGCATAGAGTTGGAATTATGAAATTTTAGATCAGATAGAAGTCATTTAAGCCAAATAACCTCACATGGAGTGGCTGCCATTGCACGACACTCAGCTTCTGCACTTGATTGAGCAATGGCCTATTGCTTCTTGCTTTTCCAGGTTACAATATTGCCTCCCACAAACGTGCAATAACCTATTGTGGACCTTATATCAATGGCATTGCCTGCCCAATCAGCATCAGTGTAACCACTTATGCTTGTAAATTGGTTATTTTGTATGAGAATTCCTCTCCCAATGGACCCTTTAAGATAATGAAGAATCCATTTAATAATGTTGAGATGATCAATGGTGGAAGAATGCATAAACTGACTAACTATCCCTATTCCATAAGTGATGTCAAGGCGAGTGATGGTGAGGTAAATTAGCTTACCAACTAGTCTTTGATAATAACTCACATTATGAAGAGTTTCCCCATTTATGGTAAACTTGAGTTTGCTGTCAATTGGAGAGGCTACAGGTTTGCAATCCAGAAAATTTGTCTCCTTGAGAATATCAGTTACATATTTCCTTTGATTTAGGAACAACCTTTTGGAAGAATTAGCCATTTCTATGCCAAGAAAATACTTTAGCCTCCTAAGGTCCTTGATGGCAAAGGTTTCGTGTAGAGATTGCATCAAGGCTGCAATCTCAGTTGCACTGTCACCTGTGATTATAAGATTATCCACATAGATAAGAACCATCAACCTTCCTCTTGTGCCAGTTCGAACAAATATAGAGGAATCTGCATTACTCCTCAGAAAACCAACCTTTCCAAAACTAAGCTAAGCTTGGCATACCAAGCTCTTGGAGATTGACCGTAAATAGCCTTGTGAAGCTTGCATACCATACCATTTTGAGCTTGACCATAACCTGGTGGTGGTTGCATGTACACTTCCTCTTGTAATTCTCCATGGAGAAATGCATTTTTTACATCCATTTGATACAAAGACCATCCACGATTAATTGCCACAGACAAAAGAACTCTAATAGTGTTCATCTTGGCTACTGGACCAAAGGTTTCTTTCTAATCCACTCTAAAGGCCTAAGTCAATCCATGTGCAATGAGTCTGGTTTTGTGCCTTTCGATCGAGCCATCAGCCTTGAATTTCACTTTGAATATCCACCTGCTACCAACAGCTTTCTTGCCAGGTGGTAAATGACCAAGACTCCAGGTTTTGTTGTCACTCAAGGCTTGTAATTCCTCCACCATTGCCTTCCTCCACTCAGATGATTAATTTGCTTCCTGAAATGTGCTAGGTTCAACATTATTTGCAACTTCGGTGAGAAATGCAGTGTGAGAATTCGAGAAACAGTTGTAATTTAGAGTCTTAGTGAGAGGATGCCTTGAGGCTTAAGTAACATAGTCCACCAACTTGGCTAATGGCTTTCTTGTTCAAATGAGATATCTTCTGGCCTCTTGAGGTGTGGTTCATTGTGAAGTTGATGAGCTTGCTTGCACTTCACTTGTATGCTCACTAATTGATTAAGTGTGTAATTGGCCCACACTTGAAATCAAGTCAGGTTGAACTTCTTCAATGTTTTGACAATAGAGAGGTGATCCTATTCTAGTGTGTAGAGATTAGTGACTCTTTGTAGGGGAAACAAATCACTCAATATCTCACTTTCATCATCATGAGTCCCTTTTCTTTTTAGTAGGGTATTGTTTCATCAAAACGAACATCCCTGGACACAATACACTTCTTCGTGATAAGATCAACACATTTGTATCCCTACTGAGTTGGTGAGTATCCAACAAAGATAAACTTCACTGCTCTCGCTTCCAACTTGTCAAGATTAGATGCTTGCACATGAACAAAGTCACTGCAACCAAAAGTTATAAATGGGCCAAGTTGACTACCTTATTATGTAAGGTTTCATATAGAGTTTTGAACCTTAATACTCTACTTGGAAGTCTGTTAATTATATAGGCAGCAGTGAGAACAACATGTGACCAATATCTTTTGGGAACATTCATGTGCAACATTAATGCTCAAGTTTTTTCAAGTAAGTCTCTATTCTTTCTTTTTGATACCCCATTTTGTTGAGGTGTCCCTACACAACTCGTTTAATGAATGATCCCTTGTGACCTCAAGTACTAAACCATGTTATTTGACAGAAACTCAATGCCATTGTCTGACCTAAGTACCTTAATGTTTGAGTTGTGTTGAGTTTGTACAAGGTGATGGAAATCTTTGAATATGCAGAAAACCTCACTTTATGATTTCATAAGGTATAGAAAGGTGGTACGATTGAAATCATCAACAAATTTGACCAAAAATTTATAACCATCCGTTGATTCAATTGTAGGTCCCCAAACATCAATGTGTACTATCTCAAATGGTTTACATGTCTTGAGAACAAAAGTGCCAAAGCGTAATCTAACTGACTTAAAAAAATGACATGTTTCACATTTAAGTGGTGACTGACAAAACATAGGAAACAACTTTGACAAAACAAGTTCAGATGGGTAAGCAAGTCTTTGGTGCCATAGTTGTTGATGTTTAAAATACTTTGGTCTGGCTTGAAAGGCTCTAGACATGACAGATCTTTTGCACAAGTAGTAGAGACCATTAAGAAGGAACCCTTCACCAATCATCTTCTTGGTGATGATATCCTAAAAAGTAACTTTGTTTGGTGAGAAAATGGCATGGCAATTTAGGGAGTTTGTAATTTTTCCTATTGAAAGTAATTGGAAAGGAAATGAGGGAACATAAAGTGCCAATGACCCATTACTATTTGTGAGTATACTAGCTTTTCCCTTACCCAAAACTGACACATTTGTTTTTCCATTTGCATCCGACACTAGTGAAGGTATTTTGAATGCTTGAAAATCATGTAAATTTGAAAGTTTGTTTGTCGTGTGATCAGTGTCACCCGACAACAATCCAATAATCATATTCAGTGCTTGTTTGTAATGCAATGGAGAAAGCTTTGAGTATACATGAGGCCTCTTCATGCATTGCAGATTTGTTATTTGCAAGGAATCCTGCAAACTACCCTAGCATGGCAATGTGTCCTCCATCCTTATTTTGAGAGGTTGATGCAGCATTCCCATGACCTTTGGTTTGCAAATTTGCAACAAATTCATTTATGGGAGCCACAAGACTTGCAGTGAAGTCCATAGATCCAAGAGAGACCCCGGAGGTGAATTTTGCTGCATGTTAACTCTTGAAGTGTTTTGAGGGAATCATTTTCCCTTCTTTGGTGAATTTGGGCTTCTACTCGGGATGAAGAATGCAGCACCTTTCCTTCACATGACCAACACAATCACGGTAGGTACATTTGAGATGAGTATTCTTACCCTTGTATGCCTTTTGGTTTGCAGCATAGGCTCGAGCTTCAGTTGGCCTTGAACTAATCTCACCATTCATAGCTTTCTTTCTAACTTCTTCATGTTGGACAGTAGCACACACACTCTTGAAGGTTGATAATTCTTGGCTCATAAGTATATGGCTTCTGTGATCCTCATACTCAGAACTTAAGCTTCCCAAAAGTTCGTATATCTTGTCTTCCTCACCTCTCTTTAGTAGGATACTTGCATCTGTGGTGTGTGGAAGACACATATCCAGTTCATTCCACATAGTTTTAAGGCTACCAAGATGTTGCACAAAGGACTTCCCTTCTTGTTGAACGCTTGCAACGTCTTTCTTCAGTTGAAACACTCTTGCATAGTTGTTTTGGTTTCCATACATGTCCTTCACTAAGTTCCACAAATCTCGTGAGAACTCTGAGTAACTGAAACTTTATGCGACATGCTTCTCCATAGTATTGAGAAGTAAGGACATGATGAGCTAATCCTTGAATAGCCAAGCCTCATAAGTTGGTGAGGTGATTTCAGGAGCTTCGATGCTTCCATTACAATGCCAAGCTTTCCTTTCCCTCCTAGGGCAAGTAAAATTACACGAGACCACAGTAGGTAGTCATACTCATTCAACAAGGCTGAACACAAACGTTGATTTGTGTTAACCTCAATGCCTGAGAAATTTGAAGGAGAGGTATGTGAGATGTCACCCTCAATATTTACTGAATCTTCTTCAGCCATGGCTTAAGATTGAAGGAAAGATGCAGTGGAAAGAAAAATGGCCAGAGGCAAGTTACAAAACCTGCTCTTATACCATGTTGATATTTAAGTTTGCTTGAATTGTATGTTTCATAGATGAAGAATGAATGTACAAGGCAGAATATAAAGAGAAGGAAAAAAAGGGAACCGGTTCCAAGTAACCTTTCCCTAAATCACTCTAACAACTAGGTAAACCCTAAAGCTATCAACATCCTTAAATCAAGGGATTACATCAAATAACTAAAAAACCATATCAACACGTCAACTAATTCTTAATTTGAGGGAGCCATTACGGGGACCATACCCATTACAACTAGGTCCATTAGTCATTCCATAAAGTTCCATGCATATCTTCCCATCACTCCAATATCTTCAAATAATTATACTTCAACAATAAGTAAACACAATTTATTTGTTTAATTTTAAGTCCTTTTTTCCCTTAATGTATCCTTAATGCCGAGTAATCTGATGAGCTGAGAAGCGGTGGCCGTTTGAAAAAAATCTTTGACGGTTGACCGCATGCGTGCCTGTGATTGCTTTGGAGCGTTTCTCTTCGTGAATCACACACATTCCTTGAAAAGGAAAACAAATTTCTGACTAGGCCGACATTTATATTAAGTTAATATATATGTGGAGATTTCAATGTATGGATCTGTTAATATTTTCCCTCCATTTTTATCTTCTGATGTTTCTCTGTGATATACATTGAAATTTCCTTTTCGGTAAATATTGACTTTCAAGCCTTCTAAGGAAATGAACAAGAAAAGCTTGCACAATTCGAAAATTAAGCATTAATAGATCGAAACCCACAAAAGAATTATAATATTGTAGTAATTATGTATGCTTTCTGACTAGGCCGACATTTATATTAAGTTAATGTATATGTGGAGATTTCAATGTATGGGGAATATCTGTTAATATTTTCCCTCCATTTTTATCTTCTGATGTTTCTCTGTGATATATATATTGAAATTTCCTTTTCGGTAAATATTGACATTCAAGCCTTCTAAGGAAATGAACAAGAAAAGCTTGCACATGTCGAAAATTAAGCATTAATAGATCGAAACCCACAAAAGAATTATAATATTGTAGTAATTATGTATGCATTATATATGCGGTCTCGGATTTCATATAATATTACACAAGAAGTTCAAGACCATCCATGCAGAAAATAATCTTCCCCGACACACGCCGTTTAACGAATGCTTGGAGAACGACACCAACGTATATCTTAAGAGGTGGCGTGTAGTCTAATGTTTATATGTTGAACGTAAAATAACAGCATTTGGGATGTAAAAAGAAATGTGTCGTGAAATAATAGAGAATCACCAAAAGGTGAAAAAAAAATCGTGGAGAGAGTTGATGCATAAAGTTTCACCAGGCTTTCATTTGAAACTGTTAGGACCCATATATAACCAAGTCTTCATATTTATTAAAAAAAAAATGCGGACTTCTTGAATTCAAATAGTGTTTTCTTAATTAGTAGTTGTGTTGGCAGTTTTGTGCGCAAAATCTCTCATGTGTGATGGATTATCTAGTTGTCAGGATTGAATTTTTTTTACTTTAGAGTGCTAGTTGCGTCCTGCGTCATGTGTTTGTCATTCCCGCGCATCCATCAGTATATATGGTGGCTACAAGATTGACCAACATGAACTTATAAAAGAAAAATGGCCTTTGGGTACAAAATAAAGGACACAAATGACACACCCCAACCTAAAATGTCCACTTGGACTTCGAATCAAACTGTGTTGGCCTACACCAGTGGAAATTGTGAATAATTGAAACTTAAAAGTACCTAAATGTAAGAGTGCGCATGTGAGGGGGATTAAACCCAATTCACACGTGATATCAAAGTATAAGTAAAGTATAGTAAAGGT